TCAGAGTTCCTACTGACAAAAAGGTCAACGGGTGCTTCCCGCGATAAAGGAGAAGGCAGAGTAAGTTTTTAGAAAAATACGGCAGAACAGCAGACTGGGACAAAAAATCGGGATACACGCAATCGAAATCGGGAAAATCGGGATGCTTGAGATTTGGGGAAAAAAATCGGGATATCCCGACTAAATCGGGATGAGTGGCAGGTCTGTATAATATATGTCTAGACAGGATTTTAGACACAAAATCAATGTTGTTCCTTTAAATAAACAGAATCATTATTTTATAATAAGCAAATGGACGATGGAAATAAATGAATAAAGTTATGTTAGACAATTACCAATAATATGAAAGGTAGACTTACTAGGCCTAGTTATGACGCCGGAAAATAGCCTCCGATCTACTGACCGGCGCGACGCTGGAGAATAGCCACTTGCAAAATGCCAAAACAAAAGCGTGAAAGTGGTGAGGGGTGAAAGTGGTGAGGCAGGCCTGGGGAAGTAAGATGGAGAGAGAAAAAGTAAGAGAAAGAGAGAGAAGAAAAGTAAGAGAGAGATAGACAAATAGATAGAGATAGAGATATCTAGAGAGCTAGAGAGAGAGAGAGAGAGAGAGAGAGAGAGAGAGAGAGAGAGAGAAAGGGGAGGGGGGGGGGCTGTCTTTTTATAAGGACTGATTATGAGTTTTTTGTTTTGATTCCTTTGTAGTCGTGAAACGCAGTGCAATAGCCGACCAGTAGTAGTCTAAAGTCCGAGTAGCAACGGGAGACTATTCGGACTCGAGTCTAGACCTCACTTACGGTACAACCGGCGATTGCGCACGCGCACTGGAATTTGAGTCTGAATAGCCTCCACTGGCTGTTCAGACTCTAGTCCGAAAAGCCACTTCGAAATATTAATATTGAACAACACAACTGAAACTGAATTGACATTATAGAGTGACTAGATTCTAGATCTATTTGAAGGTGGAGAAAAAGACTTTACAAGTTACAACTACAGTCTACAGTGTTAAAGTGCTGTAATTATGACTGTCATCAGTACTAAAATACTTAAATGAAATTGTGACAAGCTGGGCCTGTGACCAGTGACAAAACTGGGCAGCCCCCCCCCCCAGACTTCTAGATTCTAGATTGGAAGTCTGATTAGGCCAAGATTCTAGTTCCATCAACCTCTGTATGAAGTCTCACCACGTCAACAAGACTGTCACAAAGGAGTATAAAGAAGCTAAGTCCTTTACACATTAATCCTTCGGTCAACATTTTATCTAGATTATCTGGATCTAGATTCTAGATCTAGATTCGAAATCTTGTCTCTCAAGGCAGGGAACTTACATTCTCGAAATCATGTGATAGCAGTAGTCGTAGTCGTCGTAGGTTCATTGTTTACGTCGCGATGTTTTTCATAGAAAGAACGTGAAAATAGAACTCAATACTGAATTGTATCCTAGGTATTTACACGAACAATGTTTTTTCGGACAAAAACACACAGAATCACATGTTTACGAAAAAAAAATGTGAAGAGAACGTAGCATCGGCATTAAAAATGGTAACATATTATTTTGTGAAAGTCCCATGAATGTTTAAAACAAGTTTTTTACGAGAGCCCAAGTATATGCCGCACATAGATATAGATCTAGTCATAATGTGCACTCACGCTAAATATAAATATGTGTGTCTTGTGTGCCTGTGCGCATATGTGTGTTTGTGTGTGTATGTGTGTGTGTGTGAGTGTGTGTGTGTGTGTGTGTGTGTGTGTGTGTGTGT